CAAGTAAATATTCAAATTACGTTGGCTTAGTCAGCGAATGAAATTGACTGAGTAAAGGTGTTTCGTATCGATCACGGCAGAATACTAACTCTGCACTATGAATTTGATGGGCCTTATCATAGTTGTTAACGGACTATCACAGCAGCATAATGGACAAAAGCCTACCTTACAGTCGGTAAGTCTCAACCTGTTTCGGACTACACCCAAACAACTGAATACCTGTCCCATTTCCATCATCGTGATAGATGTTCGTGAAGTACGTTATCGTTGATTATCGTCTGACTCCGTGAGCTGATAGCTTGCATTATATTCAGCCGTTTTATGTTTATGCCTTACTCACGTGTCGTGTATCTCGTATTTGAAGCTGAAAATTATGACGATTAAAAATTGATTAGGACGATTCACATCCAAAACCATTTCTTATGAATTTGTTTTATTTCGTGCTGACATTCGTTACGGGTTTTCGAAAATTATTAGTTGCTGATTTCTCTCTTAATTATTCGTCTTACCTTGCTTTCGTTTAGTTCTTTTCTAAATATTTTTATTCTTGCTTCGTCAACATATTGTGCATTGTAGAGACTTCATCGGTCATTATGCCGTTCATCGCCGCGCATCTGACGCACCTCAAATGGTTGCCATTGGCCAGGCGCTATTTTATGACATCGTTCAGTTAGCGCAAGATCTGAAGGTGAATTTTCAGCCGTTACAGGACATGATTTTGCGAATCGTCAGCGCACTCGGCCAGGTAACTTTGCTGTCGCTTGCGATCACGGCCGATCTTCTTAGTTGATAAATTTGTTGTTCATTTAGGCCTTCATCTCATCAGATCGATTGCAAATCCCCGTCATTTCAGGCCTGTTGCTGCGCAACCAGCAGTGTTGCTCATTTTTAATGCCATTTTTCGAGCCTCAACGGGCTACGGAAGCCGACTATTGTGCAATTTATGCAGAAGTCATTTATGCGTTGCCAAATGCCGTTGTTCCGGTTGAGATAATTGAGTGGATGATCTCAAAAGTAAGTTTAACACGTGTACTTCAAATCGTTTTGAAAAATGTTCCATATCTGATAAAGAGAGGCAGATGCTGCAGTCGCAAAGGATAGTTTATTGCATTTCCGGGCCTATTGTCACCGGAATATGTGTACTGTGCCAGTAATATTATCCTTACAATTTTAAGCTTAGCAGTAGTACGAACTCTAAATGTTTTTTTAATAATTAGTGTAATGGAACGAAAGTGGCAATAATTGCAGTTGTTACTCGTTTTGTGGCTTTCATTTTCTGAACAGCTTTTATTTTATCAAAATTCGTTTTGTGAGTCAACTAAATATTTCATTTACTACTCCGCTGTTATCAGATCTATGGAGCTATTTGTTTCTTAACTTTAGTCGTCATTTAAGCTTACTGATTCCTACTTATTCTTCAAGTCTTGATTTCACAGGTCTCAGCGACCCTTTGCTCAATTTCAGCCAACGTATCTGCTTCGACTGGAATCTCGGTAGTACCCGTTATGAAGGTTTTCAGGATGTAGTTTTTTGATAAGATCTGAGCATTTGACTTCTACAAAGTTCAACTGTAACGCTTATAACGTCGACGTCTAGCGAACGTGTATCAGATGAATGGCACATAATACGCCGTTACGCGACGTGGACAAATTTTTGTTAAGTTCTGAAGCGCGTGAATTATAATCGTGTGAATAAGAGAATAAGAATAAGGTGATATATTGAATGTAGTTCATATTTTCTTATGAGGAAAATGATGGTAACATACAAAATATCAGGAACGGCAGTGCATGGAAATTTTACGTACGTGCATTCTGTTCCACAGACTGACTCTGAGCCGAGTTCAGTCCCTCGTGCCTTATCGATTTGCATGGCGTAAATATTTCAGGAACGTTGCTTTAGCGCAATCCTGGAGTGGATAACCGAACTACGAACATATAACCGTAAAATGTTCGTTCTGATAAATAAAAAAGAAATAGATAACTAGTGGTACAACGCGGTCACAAGGTCTCATCGACTGTCATTAGTTGGCTTTCTAACTTAAGCATTGAACTGCAATTGTCTCCTGCCAGGCATGCGGAAAGGGGAATGGATATTAAAGTATGAAGAGATAACAGACATTAAAATGGTACATGACAGAGGAACTAGGTATGCTAGATGTTTTGCTGGGTGTAACTCGAACACTCTTGGTCTGCTCCGTCTCTCTGATTGCGTGGGCTAATACAGTTACGTACTCAGGCTGTGCATTGCCGGAATGAATAATCTGAGATGAAAATATGGCGTGTCAGTAAGTGTCATGTGTATTATATGTACTGATCTTATTCTGTACTTCTGCATGCATTATTTACGCTTATGTCATTTTCTTTAGTCGTTCGTTAGTCAAGCCCTTCTTCATGTTTGACACATAATCTCATATTGCTTTTATAGTTTGACGTTCTGTCGGTATTGCCGAGCTTTGCTGACAATTCGGTCATATCTCTTATGATCCTGACAATCGAAGCGGGTACTCTGACGACGCAGGTTGCGAACATTGGCCATCTTGTCAAAGTATATTTTGGTTTTCCTTTAACCACTTTTTTATACCGCGTTGCTCGTTAAGATGTTTAGCAAAACTTTCGTCGAAATTGTTACCTTCTCGTTTCCAAAATATTTCACCGTCGGCGTTTTCAACGCCCTAAAAGGTATGGAAAGTGATAGTATTAGTCACCGCAGTTAACTTTTATTCATTTTTTTTGTAGTCAGTAATCCATTTACCGGTATTCTTATGGATGCAGTCAATGTTGAATTGGATGTAAGGCAGTACCTCGTTCAGTACCCTGATGTAAGTCTGTCGATTCTGCGTATTTTCCGTATAACTTGTGTGAGATCATCTTTGACTGCCATTTTCTGACAGTGTTTACCCCTTTAATCTTCACAACTTCATGGTGAGTGTTGCTTCCATTAGAGTATTGTAGGAGCAGTATGTGATCAGTAGTGTATGCCTTTATTTTAACAGAATCAATCAGCACTGGTAATTATCAGAGTAAAACTAGCTTTTCTGATACAACATAACTGACACAGTCAAGTTACCATTATTTTAGAATGGCAGCACAAATTATTACCGTTTCTTGATGTTATAATCTTGCCTAATCTTGACGGTTCGTGAACAAAAGCACCATTGTTGGAAAC